TTTTGGGGTTTCTTTCTCATCAATTGGCTTACAGCAAAGCTGAGGAGAACCCGGAGGCCCGTGACGGATGCCCTGGACTGGGCGTGGCGCCAAGGTACGGGGGCATAGCGCCCCCCCCCCCCGCCCACTTCCTTCTGCGTCCCTCTCTCTGTCTGCCACCTTCGCCTGCGTTGAAGTGGAAAATGTTCGCTCATCTTCCCCCCTAGACGAAACGTCCTACGAGGCCGGCGTGCAGGTGCAGATTCACTTCCAGTCCGAGTTCGATCCGGTTCCAGACATTCGTTTCCACACAAGAGCAGCGGGTAGCGTATCCCGGACAGCCGGGCCTCACCGCATGCTGCCGGACCCTGCCACACTCCATCTCACCCCCGGATCGTCGTGCCGTCTGTGGCTGCACGCCACACTGCATCTCACCCCCGGACCGTCGTGCCGTCTGTGGCTGCACGGCACACTCCATCTCACCCCCGGACCGTCGTGCCGTCTGTGGCTGCACGCCATCCGACTTCCCATGGACTCCTATTCCGTCACCCCCTGTCATCGGCCATCGTGTCCCCTCCCCTCCCACCGGGGTGCATCGTCAGTCCCTAACCCCCAGCAACATTGCCGTCGCTCCACAGCAATGTTAACTCAGCTGTCTGCCTCCGTCAGACCTCTGTGTGTCTTTAACCCCCCAGCCCTTTCCCTGTGACCACATTAGTTCTATTCCTTTACTTTTCTTTCTCTGATCTATATGACATATGGTATAATAGACAGCGGATGGCAAGCGGCGAGTAGGTGGGATGTAACTTGTGAGAAGTGGTTCTTGTTTCAGTGCTTAAGGGCTGTGTATCTATACGTGCATGCATACATATCGCAGTATAGTCCTCTGTGGGACGGGCTAGTCGGTCTTGCCCACCACTGAAATACTGACAGCATTAATATGCAACTGCATCGGCAGCAGCTCTGGGAATTGCTTTGATCGGTACTGGTTCCCATAGGGAGAAAGTGACTCTGTACATTGTTGTTTTATTTCCATAGACAAGAAGCCCTCTAAGGACGCAGGCATCTGTTTTGGATGTACAGTCACTGCCTTTGGCCTGTTGTACCGTTCATCTCTTGCACCGTATCTTTACTGGGTGTTTTCTAAGAATCTTTGTATTGGCTGCAGTCACTCTATCTCCTTTAAAATGCTTGCAGCTCTGCAGTTAAGAAAAAGTAGGCATTTCGGTTGTAAAACACATGGTATGGCAGTCATGAATGTCGCTTTAATTTCATAACCCGTTCAACTGATAAAGACATTTGCAGACGTGCTTATGCTTTAGTGAATGTGACAGAATAAGTCTCCCGCACCCATAGCTAAAACGTGACAATGAAACATGTGCTAAAGAGCGATATAGTAAATAGATGAATATTTATTTTGATTATAAATGTCATTTTTAACAGAGAGACTGAATTTAATAGTCCACGGTCTTAAAGTCGAAGTAAATATACCGTTTAATACAATTAGTGTTTCTTTATGACGTTTGGACATTTACTTATTTTGCATTATGTAAGGCAACTATATTTCAACCTCACTGTGAGATATAATCAGGTGATATCAATTCAATACATTTTGTATTTTAGCAACTGGAATAAGGATGTTTTATTGTCATAACCCTTTTTCTCTATTTTCTTTAATTAAGGTATTATTTTCCATGTTTGTGGATGGAGAAATGTTGGTAGGGTGCATTTTGGTTTCTCATCGCAGACATCTGGCCGGCCAGTCAGTGTGCAGAATGAGATCTGAAAGCGACCTAGTTCATGGTCGAAGATGCCCCACAGCGCCTTGGTCAATGTTACGCAGTACTTGTAAAGGTGCGGCAGTTCTGGAACAGAGCCAGATAGTCACATGACACGTTTCCTGCAAGGCCATGTCAGTCTGTGTCTGAGTGGTCCTGCGTATTTTACCACAATGTAATGTAATGATAACCTGTTATTTTGACCTTGTGGGGACCAAAACTCTTAATTTTTTTTTTCAAAATTAAAAATTGTGAATGCAATCAAAAAACTAAAAATGCCAAAAACCATGTATTTTGTTTGTTTACTTATGGATGAGGATAGTTGGGATTAGAGTTTTCCCCATAGAAGTGAATGAAATGTCCGCACATAGATAATTACAAACCTCTATGTGTGTGTGTGTGTGTGTGTGTGAGAGAGAGAAACCAAACAGTATACTGTAGCTGCTGCAAAAATTTTAATGACTGTGCATGAAAATATTAGTATACAGCCTAAATTTATTGCTCTACCGCAGTAGCTATATAACGATTACGTACCTGACTTTGCTTTTGTTGATTTTTTTGAGAAATGTCAGGTAATTTGATTGTATACCCAGATGACTGCCATTGTTTCCACGTGACTAGGTCCAGGACTGGAAGGTAGATAGTATAATCCGTAACTATTTTAGGTATCCTGTAAACTCCAATAAATAGTTTGTCTGCCGCTAAACTATGTCTAAGAATTCATTAGAGGTTGTACCTTAGCATAAATAATTTATCACTTATATAAATAATTCTTCATTAGTTGGACAGCTAAGGTTTTCCCCCAATAATATATTCCCAGGCAGCTGAAACTGTGCTTGGTGGAGTCGATAATGGGCTGTTTCAGTGATTTGTAGATTGGATCCACCCAGAATCCCTATGATTCTGGATACATTTGCATGTCAAGGCAGGGAAAAGGTTTTAAAAAGCTACAGCACAATCAGAGCCTCGCAAGCAGCCACCATACAGTGTGTGTGGGACTAATGGAGAGCAAGGAGCCCTTTAAACGCTGTAAACATCTTTCACTGAGATTCCGGGAAAGTGATACAGACTGTACTGATCATAGTGCAGGGCGTCTGGCCATCCTGGGCCTGATCCAGAACAAACAGGCTATTTTATATTATTTTTCAGTGATGGCCCTGGAGGATGTTTCTCTGGGTAGTTCTTTGTTTACTATGTTTTGGATGAAAAGAGATGCTTTTCTAGTCTAGTGATCATTTTTCACAACGACTTCTGTGATTCATGACTTTGGCCATTTTCTGGCACACATAATTAAAGCTCATATTTGATTTAATGATACTAATATTTATGTAAGGGGTGCATGAGCCTAAGTCACATTTTAGGCAGTGAGATGTACTGTGGGTAGTCTGTACATATTCTCAGTCAAATGGTCTCTCCTGTTTAAACGATCCTATCTTAATGTTGCCTTAGCTAACAGTCTTATTCATTTAATTTTGCATTGGAAATTTACCCCTGTCCACCTGTTTAGTCAAACATTATGAAATTCAATTATAAAAATTAATTGGAAACAGATTATGAAAATGTATGTCCAAAGAATATAAAACATTACCAGTTAAATATTATGCAATATATCCTATAATTAGATGTATGTTTTTACGGCATAAGCGCTGCACTGTGTCCGCTCGAGGTCATCACATATACGGAGAACATCTTTTGTTTATAGGGTGAAAGTGAACTGCTAGTAAATTTCCTCATTACTCTATATTGATGTTTTACTCATTAGCAGTACACAATATAAATTGTTAAAGAGTTTTGCTTGTCATTAAAGGATCAGGAGAGTGTAACTTAATCAGTTATAGTCTTTATAAATTGTTCTCTACTGGCTTTTGTACAAAGCAATTTATAAGGGTTGGTTTTAAAGCTTCCTTTGCTCTGGTGTCCTGTTTGATGTCATGCTTTTCTTTAGGATGTCTTCATTCCCCGTGATTCTCTGCTTCCTCCTCAGGAGCCGTCTGACATCTGTGACCCTGTGCATGGTCTCTGCTTGTGGCTTTCTGTGAGCTCTGCAGCCAAATAACTGCACTCTTTCAAAACATCATTTTTTTTTTGTTTGCTGATCATGAAATCCTTTGAATCTTTACCTGTACCTAGGTAACATTGTCATTCTATTCATAAAAAAGCTTAAGTCCTCTTTACTATTCATTAATTCTGATGAGATACCTGTAATAGTGAAAGAGAAATAAATACTTTTATATTCACTGTAAGGTAATATAGCATGAAATCCCTGAGTTATAAGGTGAGAAATTAAGGGTTATACTATAAAGTACGTTTTTAGCGCTAACATAATCTCACTGTGCAGGACTCAGTAGAGCAACACAAAGTGTTGTCTCCTGCTAATAGTGTAGAGTTTGATTTCTGCTAGGCTGGACTTCAGAACCTCCATCGATGCTGGCGCTGAATGGATCACTGTCCTTTATGTCAGCTTCAGTACCTCCCCCCTCCCTGGGGAGACTGCAAGTCGACGGCCATGGACTCGGAGTTCTTCTCTACGTACAGCATCACGGCCTGCCGCATCGACTGCGAGACACGCTACCTGGTGGAGAACTGCAACTGCCGCATGGTCCACATGCCAGGTAACACATGGACACGACGTTGGATGAGACCTGGGTCCTTAGTTCATCACCTGCCTTTTAAAATGTGGATTCTTTGCGGGGGTGGGGGGGGGGGGGTTGGACTCGCCCAGAGATTGTGAGAAAGTAAATGTTCTTGCCAACAGTGAAGCATTGCATCTGCTTCAAAAATAAGTGAAGATCTGCCGTTTTATCTGCATAGGAACCTCCTCTGTGTGCACGCCTGAGCAGTACAAGGACTGCGCAGACCCCGCTCTGGGTAAGCTCACCACCCTGCAATAGGCCTCTCATACTAATGATATTATCGACAATATATGGACATAACATCAATAATTTTTTTCTGACCTCGATATTGCCAAATTGCATTACGTAGGAATGAGTGCCCCCAACATTTTGGCCAGTCACACTGCTTCTACCATCTTGTCTGCTCTCTGTGTCGCAGGTGCGGCTCACGGCCGGTTTTTACTTCACGCAGACGCATGCGCGCCGTGGTGCCGGACTGTCGGCAGTCCTGAATGTTCATATTTCTAGTGCCGATGTGCCAGGCAACCGTGTACTTTGACGTTAGGCCTGGGGGTAGTGCTGTAAAACAAAGCTGTGTCTGTTCTTAAGAGTTACGGTTATGAAGTGTGGTATGGATGTTATAAGAACAAATAAGAATTTTACCAAACCTAACCATACACTATGTACTAACAGCGCCCAAGGCAAACAAAAACATTTCCATATGCAAACAAAATAGGATACGAAAATAAAGACTACAACCAAATAACTTACAGCTATTGCTTCCAAAACCAACAGAAGCAAAAACAAACTTCAAATACTTCCAGTTAACGTTTTAAATGCTCTTTAGCTAAAGTAATGTAATTTATCTTTCTACCTCTCGTGCGACACACTTGAACCATAGAAGTTACAACTTTACGTCAATTTCTAGAAGTACAATTACTAAAAACTGAAGTCAAATATATACCAACTAAATAGATTTACATATTTATAATAAAACCTAATGAAACTAATGGAAAATTAAACTAGATTTCAAATGATAAAATACATATAAAAACATTTTTAAAAATCAAGATGATAGTAGCATCGATTCCAAAATATACATGGGTATATGGCGCTGCAGTTACAAACGTATTTTATTTTAGTTCATAGCCATCTGGGAGTCTTTATAATCCTGTTGTGAGGAATCATATAAATCTTGGCATTTCCAGACTTTCTCAGTCAACCATTCTTCGAATCTGCTAGTCATTTTTGTTACCATTCTGATCATAGAAGGTAGAAAAGGTACTTATGTACAATCTTTGGTCTGACATCTTTCTAACCTGTTACTTTTCCCCTGGCCAGTGAGCAATCGAGGTTTGCTTGCGTCACTGGATGGAGTGTCTGTGAAACTGGGTTGCCAGTATATTGCCTGTTAAGGAATGAATGACTCTCCAAACCCCCATGCCAAATGTTTAAAATTTAGTCCAATTTTTGTTAACAGAACCGGAGAATCCATTTAATCTATTTTTTTGTTTGTGTATTTTTATTCATGTTTTAATTATTTGGGATATTTACCTTTTTGACATTCCAGTTCCAATTTCTGAATTTTCTGAAGAATTAAAAGTTCATTGCTCTTTGAAGGGTGTACTTACGTTATTATGCTATGGTGGTATCTATATATCAATGGCATAAAATGGTCTTAAAATGACAACGATACCATACGGACGATATATCGTCTAACAGTTATGGTAGCAGGCATGGCTGCACCCCCGTTACACTCGTTCACTTTGCATCTTCGGGTTTTCGTTTGCCTTCGGGACCCATTACCGCGGCTTGCCAGCCGCTGCATACATTAGTCTCTGATGATTTTTCGCTAAAGTCCCACCCTTTGTGTTTATATAAATATGGATAATATTTTTATATAAATTATGCAAATAATGTGTGAGGAACCAGCTCAGAGTATAAATATCCAAATAAGAATCTAGGAAAGATGAGTGCTGACACATTTTATTTTTGTTGTGGAAATACTGAATATGCCTTTGTTGAGAGCCCCATCGGGTATAAGGAGGGTTAGTTAAGTGTTACATCATTGCAGGAGAACATTTATTACCAGTTTCAATAAACATCATGAATGAACCCCAGCTCAAACCAGTATACTGATATCAGTGCAAGAATGATGCAGACTTTGCCTAACAGAAACACATTCCAGTCTTTTTTCTGATTCCTAATCAATCAATCTTCTCATTTTCAAGAAGCAGACCCCTGACATTTGCATGCCATTCCGATGTGTGTCATTGATTTGGTCTTGTTGCGGGATCTTGGTACTGGAACAAACTAAGCTCTCGGCACGCACTGGGAGGATTGTGTCATTGTAATTCCGTGCTGATGCTAACATTTGTCACACAACTGTGTCGTCCTCCAAGCAGCCAAGCACGTCAGACTGCATTTACATCTCTCGAAGGCTGGATATTTAATTTTTGTGCACCTGCTGTCAAAAGAGACCTGGGCCATCTTTTCAGTTTCATCTGAGCTAAGCAGATGATGCCAGGGGGTGCCGAGTTTTTGCGAGGTATTTTTGTGACGATTTGCGTGATGCAATGTGATATTTTCAATCCTCAGGCTTACGCTCATTCTACAGTGGATTATAGATCCACGTTTGAAGCCAGAAGATCCATATTCCCAGCCAAATGCTTCGTTAGTATGCGGTGTGCTGTTCCTGCGTTTCACACTGTGCGGTTTATTTCTCGATTTCTTGAAGGAGTGTAAGCTTTCGCATCTGCCTTACCACGCTAGCTATTGGCCCACATTCGGTCATGAGTCAATTGGTTTCCATAATATCTCTGTTTATCGTAAGTCCTCCTCCCGTTTTCACAGATTTCCTGGTAGAAAAGGACAACAACTATTGCGTATGCGAGACGCCCTGCAACATGACGCGATACGGCAAGGAGCTGTCCATGGTGAAAATCCCCAGCAAAGCCTCCGCTAAATACTTGGCTAAGAAGTTCAACAAGACAGAGCAGTACATAGGGTAAGGCTGCACGGTGCCGAGTTAAACCAGGGGAGTATACTTATGAGACAACTTCTTCCCCAGCGTGCAAGATGGTATCCTGTTCATATAAGCTGGAAGGTATGGGATAAAGATAGACACATTTCATTTAGCTATGGTATGGAGATTTCTCTAAATAAACACTTTATATTTATTTTTGTGTTTTAGAGAGAATATATTAGTCTTGGACATCTTCTTTGAGGCTCTCAACTATGAGAAGATTGAGCAGAAGAAAGCGTATGAAGTAGCAGGACTGCTTGGTGAGACAGATTCCTGACGGAAGTGTCTCTTTGAGCACCGAGCGGAAGCTGTGCTAAAGCTGGATAATTAAGGACAAGGTGTTTGGGACCCTGTGACAGTCTAGTAATTAATACTAATGAAGAAACTTCTTCTGCACAGGTGACATTGGTGGACAGATGGGCTTGTTCATTGGAGCCAGCGTCTTGACAATATTGGAAATATTTGACTACTTGTATGAGGCAAGTATTGACTTGTCTCTTTCATTTCGCCTGCGATGTACCGAAAGTGAAGAACAGAAACTTCAGAGATGGGGACATGTTCCTTGGTGCTGGGACCCAGTGGCTACCACGTGTTAGAGATCTTTAAGAGGGCTTAGGAATATGGTGAGTGATAAGGGTATGACTGGTGTTGTGCTTACAAACCTGAATTCACTACTACTAGAGAGACCGTTAGTCCGTTTTAGCTGTTCAGCTATTAGGAAGTGGTCCTGCGCAGACTTGTGTAGATTGGTATGTAAAGAGCCGATTCACGTGTAGTGATGATGTCGGTCACATTGCATATTTACGTCTTGACATTCCCTTCAATCTATGCAGGTGTTTAAAGATAGAGTCCTGGGTTTCTTCATACGCAAGAAACGTCCCAGACGGTGTCAGAGCGACAATCTGGTAACTAACGTCCCTCCCCACAACGGCCAGAGCCCTTTCTCCTCAACGCTTGGTTGTTAACGTGAATGCTGCCTTTGAGGGAGCCATGTCTTTTTCTCACACCGCGGGGTGTGACAGGCTGTCGCCCTGCCTTGGGAGGACGTCTGCTGCTTGGGTTTTGTTTAATGCTTAGCCGGATTTGATTAGCCGGATTTGATTTTGGTCTGCTTGTCTTGCTCTCTACTTTGCAACACGCAAGCTGAAACGCCTCCAGAACCAAATTAGCTGTTAGTCTGCGCCACAAAGGGCTTTAAGTTTTTCCTCTTTCAGAATCGACAGTCCTGTCGAAGTCATGATTCGGCCGCAAAAATCCAGTTTGTGACTCAGTCTATAGCCGAACCACTCGATCCGGTGGATCTAGCAGCTGAAGTCCGAAAAAGACATGTACTCCTCCTACTGCCTGGAGATTTTTTTGCATGAACGGTTGCTTCAGTCCTAGAGTTTGGCTGAGATGCTGACATGGCAGAACGTTGTTGAAAGAACGCCCCTTCCCCTCAAACAAGTGCATTACGTGTCACAAAAACCTCTGAATCACCAAATCCAGTGTGTAACCATTTTACTGTGGAAAGTAGCCTATGTGAATTCAACAGGCAATTAAACGATTCGCCTAAAACTTTTAGCTATGTATTGTAACCAAGTGGTACATGTGATTCTAAATGGATGGCATGATATTTTCTTCCATTACTTGTGGTGGTTATTTGACTATATATCTATACTGCATATATATTAAATGCCATTCATTTGGAAAGCTCAACAAGGAATTCAAAGTATGACACTGAAGAGTCTAACGTGAAGATGGAATAAAACAGTCATTTACCGGCATTTAATATCTGCAGTAAAGTGCTGTGCTTGTCTGTTTAATTATTTGTGTTGTTAAAAGCTTTGGGAGCAAAATAAGATGATGAATTGGTATACCTAACTATACAAGCAATATGTTTGAATCGAGCTGCCGAGCGAACTTGCCGGTATTCTGTTGCAGTTGTTTTGTAATGTTGTTTTATTTCCTGTCTGGGCTTCTGAGCCTGTGCACAAGTTCCCCAAAGTGCACTGTATTGTACTGTGTGGAATACAACAGCTATACTGTTCAATACAATTACTTAATCATTCATTCTTTTTACATGTGTCCTTTGTGAACTTCAGCATTTTGCGTTCATTTGTGCCAGTTCTGAACTTTTGAGGATTGATTCACTTTTGTTTCTTTTTAAATTCAAACTTTAATATTTTTCTAATTTTGTTCCTTAGTATATTGTGCCCTAACCAGTCTTGTGTTTTCTCTCATTTGAATTGTTTCACAATGAACACAACAGTTATTGCAATTACATGCCAAAGGGTAAAGGAAACAAACAAGATCTTTTTTAATATGATGCAGTGTAATACTTCTAGAATCTAGTTTGACTAATCTCAGGCTTTGCTAACGATTTTAATGGCTGTATTATGTGCCAGAAACTGAGAGCGTTCCGAACCTCTCTTTCAAAATTTAAGTTGTAACTCCCAGCCGTTCTCAAAAAAAAATTAGTAAATAAACTCGGATTGCAATGGATATTTTTAGCTTTATTGTGTCTAGGTGCCACAGTCTGCAGTTTAAATAGGAGCTAGAACATTGTGATATTTCATACCTTAGACATCAGCAGAGTTTGATGCTCTTTCATATGGCCATGAGTCCTTGGTGTAAGCTGTACTAATGATTCACTTGTTTGTACAAATCGTGCACAAGTCAGTAGGTTAACAGTGCTTTATGTCGATTTCCAGTAAGAGTTAAATCATCTTCATGTTTTGCTTTCCCTAATGATCATCAATCCCACAGAGAAGGCCCAGTGCATTGACTTTGGCCTAGTTTTTATTTTGGTGTGAACTCAAAACTCATTCTACCTCAAATAGCCACATAATGACATTTTTACTGCACTCCAGGACATGGGATAAGCAGAAAATCTGAACTTAATGTTCTGCTTGTAATACCCTGTGGAATTCCAACATTTTTTTGTAAATAAGTAAAAAAAAAATATATGACAAACTTGGTAACTTTTCGCTTAATTTTGGAACTTTTTGGCATTTGTAGTTAAATATGTCTCTGCTTTCTGGATTGCATTGGGTTACCTAGGATTCCTCTTAACATGGGCAAACATCACATCACCTTTAGTACCCTTAGATACTTTTGGAGAAAGTTAATACATAACTGTAAGATACCCATAATATTTTACCAGGTGTTTAAAACTTTTAGCTGATTGCTAAAATGAGTGATATCCCTCTCACTAGGCCCCTTCAAAAAGTAATGCTTTTGATTATGATTGTGTCATTGTGTATTTGAAATTCTCTAATGAACTGGTCAGTTACACGGACATATAAACACACATGCACATATAATGTTTATGTGTTATTACTAGTTTCTGTGTTGGAAATTACGAAAAAAAATGGTAACATCCAATTAACTCTTATAGACCTCAGTTTAAAAGAACAGGAGAAAAACAACAATTTAGCTCTTCCATTCCCAACCATTGATCATGGGAACAGGGAAAGAGAGATTCTCATTAAATTAAAATTCTCATTAGCGGTTACTAATATCATTATCCCTGCATTAGCTATAGGGATTACTACATGTAGTGAGGTCATAGGTATTATTCCTTGTTCCTTGTTCATTCATTAAGTTTTAATGTGTATAGATATAAGGCTGCTTGTTCAGCAGGCCAAAGACGGACATCCACTTCCTGTCCTGGAGTGCTGTACTACTCCATTGTACTCAATGACCACGATGATTTGTTTCAAAGCACTTGTTATTTACTCAATCTCTGCATTGTATTATTTTAATTTCTATTTAATTTCAGTCACCTTCTTCATCTTTCTTTTCATCATGTCTATTCCAGGAATTTCCAGAGAACCCAAGCAGCCCTGGTGTCGCGCCTAATCTTGCCCCCAGGTAGTGATCCCCATCGATAACAGACCTCCCCCCCCCTCTCTTTCTCTGTTCAGACCCACTGGGACCCATTCCATATTTCGTGCCCTTACTCTGACTAACACCTTTAGTTTGAGTGGTTTTGGTGGATATTTTCTCGAGGAAAAACATAATAATAAAAATTCAAGATGCAATTCTTTTTTTCCCCCCTCCACAGTTTAAATAAGTGACTGCTAAAGACTCTAAACGGATTTACGCAATTAGGCACGAATGCAGATCACTGGTTAATGACCTGCATGAAGTAATGGACTGGATACAATTTGTATGTGTCTGCCTTTTGGGTCCGTAGGGAAACACTCCAAATAGCCATTCTTAGAAATGACCTAAACGCTCTTGACCTCAACAACTACAGTATTTTTTTTCCCCCCTCATTTTTCAAAACAACCACTGATTTCAGTGTCATGAAGACCCTTTTAAATCAATTCGGATCTAAATTGCAGCTTTGCAATTTCCTACCAGTCAGGACATTTTACTGNGGAAAATGACTGAAAATGCCACAAAAACCAGGAAAAAAGCAGCGTGGCACCATACCACCCCCCCCCCCCCCCCCCCCCCCCCCCCCCCCCGCCCTGCACGGTCTTTTCAAGGGGGATCTCTTCTATGTTTTTTTTAGTATTTTGCTCCCCGCCGTGCTTTGTACAGCGGCCTGTGTTAGCGGTGAGCCTTTGGACAGTGAATCTGACGCAGAGTCCTTTTACCTGCTAATTACTGTGTGTGGACTGTGTATGGTTTCCTGCATTACCCAGTGACTCGTGCTCACTGAGCCCGAAGCTGTCACATACCAGTTTGCGGCTGATCATTTATAACGGAGATCACCTGTGGTAATATTACATCCGCATCCGTGGTTCCGCTGTGCACCACTTCTCAAAGAAGAGAGCCTTTTCTTTCATCCCCTTATCTAAAATGAGAAAATAGTGTATGAGGAGTAAAGCTTAAGAGACGATAAAAAAAATATCTTTGGAAAATTAGAGGTGGCTCTAGGACACCTGTGATAAGCTTTCAAAATTTTGGTGGGGGGAGGGGCAAAAAATAAAAAATCTATGTAGCTGACTGTGCTTGGTTGGTGTTGGAGTACTTATGGACCCTCTCTGGGGTTTGAAGCTTCTGCAGGCTGCAGCTATTCAAAATCCACCGATTGTAGGTAGCAGCTAAGAAAGCTGCGATTTGACCGGCTATATTTTCCATAATTGCTATACTCTGTAGACAAAATTAATCGATTTATGTAATTATTAGCCTACTTGTGATTTTTTTTGTCAGTTTGCTTGGTTTGTCTTTCGAGATGACAGTGTGGCTTTGTTGTGGTTGCGATTCCCTCTCTCGGCTCTCCGTGTGGAGTTTGCATGGTCGCAGGTATGCACTGGTTTCCTCCCAATCCCCAGAAATCACGCAGCTTAGATGAACTGGTGTCGGTAGGTGGTCTTTGGTGATTGTGTGAGACTGTGTCCGGCAAAGGGCTGGCATCTCTTCCCAGGCGTCCCCGACCGCCTGCCGGCTTACTGGGGCAGGCACAAGGCTCTCTGTGACCTGGTACTTTGTAAGCTTTTCTGACAGGTAGATAGATGGTTGGCTGGTTGGATGTTTAATTAGGGCTGTTCAGACTTGAATTTGTATAAGAACATAGCCTATAGTGTAGATTTAGCATAAACAAACCTGACCAGTTGACATATTAACTTCAGAAGTCACCAGTCCTGTCCCTCTTTCTTCAGTAAAATTTCAGTGCATAAAAAAATCAGCTGTAATTAAGTAAATGGAGAAAAGACCATTTTAGCACTGTACACTGTCCCCAGTTATTTAATAGAAAAATTTGTTACAAGGATTGTGATTGTTAAAACCCGTGTTACACTCCTATAAAATCATAGACCTGGTGCAGGATGATGACATTATGTGAAAGTGTCCATTTCATAATGCTTAAATGGGTAGAAATGAAAAAAGCTATTTTGATAATATTGCTACGATGAAAAAAAATTAATATAACCAGCATTACAGCAAAATGATACAATGACTCCAGAGTAATCTGAGTATGAAAAACTCCTGTTAAGATACATTGCTGAAGTCACCTTGGATGTTCGAATCCAATATGTTTTTATGGATACATTTATCCTTTTGTGGATTCACTATGAACCAGTACAGAAGGCAGTTTCACTGTTGATGGACAGTGACAGGAGCTTTGTAAGAGACCAAGGCAGCAGAGTGCCTTGTATGCATTCGGTCCACATTTTATGATGTTCTGAAGAGCAAGCTAGTTACCAAAGCATCTTATATTGTAGACAGACCCATTTCTATTAAATCCGGAATCTGTGTGCAACATGTATTTTCAATATCAGCCAAAATATGGATGGAACTTTTTTTACAATACTTGGAAACCAACTAACTTCAGCTGACTTGACTTTAGTCCATTAGCACAAGGCATTTCATCTTTAGCCATAATCTTGTTCCTGAGCAGATTGTTGTCACAGATAACGCTTTTCAAACTACATGGATGTGCTTAAATACTCCATATTCTGGGATGTTTTTCTGCCCGCAGTAGGGGTGTTGAGCACGTGAGCCGCTCTTTATGATGGCATTGCCAAAAGTGCAGTTGATATGTCAGCACAATCATTTCCTGCTGCCTGTCAGACTTCAGAAATTGCTCATCAGCGCTTTGGCAGAGAACTCATAAATATGAAACGTGTGTCTTCTTCCATGTCGTGGGATGTAGTGTCGGGATAAACTGCATGCCTAAAAGTGATTTGTTACAGCACTGGGATGTAACCTCCTGTTTTCTCTGGCTAGCTGCCCTTCCTTTGGCTTGCGACTAAAACAGATTCATGTTTATCCAATTAGCAGTAACAGCAAAGATGACAACTGGTATTCAGTTCCGTGGAACAGGTAATAGGATGCATTCTGTGACGTCAAGCTTACAAACAAGCCGAAGAACACTGTCCAGCCCAGCACCCAACCGAGGACCTCATCACATCACATGCTCAGGATTGTCTGGCTTCCTTGGCTCTGTTCATATAATAAGAATTATAAAGAATTGGCACATAATGTCACAGGCTTTTTGAAAACTAGGCCACAATACGGAAAGGTAGGAGAGAGGATATGTATTTTCACCTTGTTTATTCTTATATATGGTCATTGTTACTCTGGGAGGTTAGAAGCCTTTTGATTGGGTAGACTTGTTCTGCTATCAGTGTTTCTAAGCTCAGTGTGGGAATATGCTAATTTATATAATATACAGCATATAAACTGCAGTCTCCTAACTTAGCTAATCCTTTGACCTAGTATGCAAACACAAGCAAAGTGTTTACGGAATACCACGTGGTTAAGGAATACCGTAAAAAATGGCCTAGTTTACCTTAGTAAAAGAAGCATGAAGTGTCACTCTGTTGCTCCTGCAAAAGAGAGCTGACGTTTACAAGAAACATCTGTGGAATGTCATGCAGAGACCATGAAAGGTCTCATGTGAATAGCAGTTTAAATAATATAGCAGATTATGGATCTTCTTTCTTTTAAAGTCAGACACTTCAAAGTGTCACATTCAGATCTGCCATGGGACTCGGTTTAGATGTTATGAGGAGGTTGAAGTTGGTGCAGCAGGTAGCACTGACGGTTACATGAACATGGATTTGATTTTAGGATGCTTGTGGAAGTTTGAGGAGTATTTGTCAAAATTGAAATAGGAAATAAATACATATGAAATGTGGTACGGAAATGCACAGTATTGTCTTCAGGTAAGACGATTATTGCAACCTAGAAGTAACAAAATGGAAAGTGCAATCTTTGGGACGAGCTTGTTTTCCTGGAAGGTGGTGAGTTGCGAGATATAAGGTGATGAATACTAAGGAAACTCTACAAAGAGCTGCACGTATATGTAAGTGCATCAGTTGTCAAAGGGAATTGCTCCGTAATGTAATGGATAAAAGATGGTATATATATATATATATAAATGGTCTTTAATTTGGAGGAAAAAGTGGGCATTGTGCTATATGTACTGAGCAGTTCCTGCAGCCCTGAAATCCATTTTAAGAGGCCATTGTCATGGAACCTGCGACCAATGACATCGCTAGATGCATTCCTTTGTGATGTCATCACAGGCCTGCATGCAATGAGTTTGCATCGTAAAATGGACCTCTGTCTGCAGATACAGCTGTCCGTTGCGAGGCTACCAGCAGCCATCTCCAGCCGACTCTTTTTTTTTTCTTTTTTTTCAATCTGCATCCCGACACCATTCACTGAAACAACCGCAGTTGTACCTGCTGTATGCCACCCTGCACAGTGTTTGAAAAAGAAACTTGTGGGTGAATTAACCTATAATCCACCTAAGTACAGATCAAGTACCAGGCACAAGACTAAAAACTGTCTCTCTCTCTCCTCCCTTCCTGCCATTATACCATGCTCATCGTTCTTTTCTCCTCCTTCATTATTCTTCCTTCCTTCCTCACCACACTCGTACGAAACTTGGCTGATAACACTCCATCGTTCCTGCACATGTTTCCTGTATCTTTCTTCTGCCACACTCACTTATTTTGATGTGATAACCTGCACTCTTATCACTGTGCCCCCCCCCCCCCCCCCCGTTTTGGTCTCCTGTTCATCCATAACACCTATTGTGGTGTATCCCTCACCTTCTACTTCGTCCATTTCTTCTCCCCCTGCGAAATCCTCTCATTGCTCATGTCCTGACACTCCCTGCTGCTGATCCCACTCATTGGCGCCCTCTGCTGTTGCCCTCCTGTCACTGCCACTCCCTCATCGCCCCTCCCCTAACACGTTTGAACTTTTGACCCCTCCTTTCCCCTTCCCTGCTCCCCGTTTCTCTTTTGCAGAGTACCTGTGACACACTCCGGAGTCACTCGGACAGTCTCGGATTCACGCCGAACATGTTACCTCGTCACCCGACTCTAGGCAACTTTGAGGAGTTTGCCTGTTGACAACATAAAGAGGGGGGTGGAGTCTGAGAAAACTGGGGTTTGACAGCAAACTGTGACAATTACATATATATTATTACAAAAAAAAAATGTGGAGGAAATATTTAAAGAATAGCAAACCTATAAATGCCTGAATAGAAGTAGAATATCACTTAAATAAACAAAAAAAACTTCCAAAACAGAACTCAGGTTTAATTGCCATTTCCTGGCATCATCTCTCTGCTCTCTGTTTCCTTATGTTAAACTCCGGCAAATCAGACATCAAACTCTATCCTGCTTGGGGTCTTTCAAATGGAGCCCATCTGCTATTACTGAAGTACAACACATCTGGGACAGATCAAGCTGTCTTCATGGACAAGCCTGTCACATGTCCAGTCTGGGGGAACCGAGAGATCAGATATGGGGGACTAAGAGTTGGACAATTCTCCCACAATCCAGTGCGAGGCAGTTGCTCCTGTAAGAACTTCCCATTTAAGTGTTGGCCAAGAGGAATGGAATCGCAGTGGCCTTCCAATGGTGGCTTCATCTCAAGGAGCACAAGAGGACCTGAAGGAGAGTATCCGGGCAGGCCTACATCCGTCAGTAGTGTCCAAGTGCTTTTTTTCTGTCATCTACAGCTTTTTGGATGTGATTGGGGTTTTTGGGGGCTGGCTTCTCATACCAGTTTAAGGGCAGACAGTATCCTTCCCTACCAAGATCCCTCTGAGATTGAGGCAGCTGTCACCTCAATGTGTCATTGCAGTAGAAGCTGTGTCTGTCGTCCCTCTTCACCGGCCTTTCCCGTGAGTGAGACGTGGATAGGTTGGTTTCAAGTCCAATTTAAATTGATTTTGATATTCCTCTTTTCTTTACAGCAAAGAACCATATCAGCATTTGTGCATAGAGTCAGTAAATGAGGGTGTGTGGTCTGGTATTAAATATTCAGTTGTTTTTTTGTAGTCCAACTGCACAAAACACGATTAGATTGGCAGACACCAAGAGATCACATTTTTACATAATGAGAATTAATATATTTACACCGGTGTGAGATATGGACGCAAAATGTGACTGATCACTGGACTTGGGAGAGGTGGCAGATGCCCAGACAATGTGAGGATTGTTCTGGAAAGTAAGATGAGCGTGCTTACAGTATTTAATGAGTTCCCCATTTCTGTGTGAGGCCTTTTAGCATTCAGCTTTGCGCAAGCCAATCCTGTCAGAATGGCAACAGTAGCATCCAGTGAAATACCCAAAAATCAACGTCATCATAACATTCTCGTTACAAATGGTAGACCAATGGCTTTCTCTCAAGGTACTGTAGCTGCGGTGTGGCGAAGACAGCTGTGCATCATTCTTCCCTTTTCTGTGGGACTGCACTGGATTTCAAGTACCATCAAATGGGTCGGAGTTTCTTGCAGGAAGAATAATCCCTAGGTCACGACCTCAAGTCTCCCAATGACCGGAAGAGCCATGTTTGGTGCCTTGATTTGTTTCGTAAATAGCTGCTGTTGTTAAGCACATGCGGCGGCAACATTTGCGTCGCTGCTGAGACTTAAAATGTTTATGTTCTTAAAACAGCACATATTTATAGCTTTGGAGTAAATCTGATTGGCCACAACGGGGTTCACCGATCACTGTGAATGCAGGAAATAACCATCCGTTACCACCAGCTGTGCTGCAGTGAGAAATGTGCAGTATACTCCAAAAATAGGTAATAAACAGCTGAGTTACTAAAAGAAAATCATGTTCAGCTTAAAATGGCTACTGTTTCTACTGTAAACACAACTGTCTGACAGAAAGTGTTCCTGAAAAAGGATCTGGCCCAGTATAATGAGCAGTCTTTAAACTGGATGTTTATTATTTAAAAAAAGCTTCCATACAATGCCAGGTAAACATGTAAGCTCTGCAGTGTGACCTGGGATGCAGGCCGACTGTCTGGTTTTACACCCCAGGACGCTCAGTGATAAGATAGCAGCATTTCTGTTCTTGTAGAGCCCACTGATAGGGAAAGGGTGAAGATCACAGTAACAATGATAAACAAATTAAACGTGGGTGTCGGGGCATTAAACTGTCATTAAAAATTCCATTAAATGCTATTCATATAATGGGGTCTTTTGGTTTGGTTATAAAAATGAAGGCTGTCCTAAAATAGTTGGCCTGGACTGAAAAAACGATGGCATTTGCCAGTAAATAACTTGTTAAAAACAACAAAATACAATACACACAGGATCTACATTCAGGGTTCCCCCGGTCCCGGTCCCGAAGGGTCAGTTTGCAGTAAGGTGCTGTAAACGCACCTTATTCAGCTCACCAGGCAGTTGTCAGGTTTCAGTGTGTTTGAGCAGGTAAATCTGCAAAGTGTCACAGACTGGCCTTCCAGGACCGGAACCGAGGAGCCCTGATCTACATTATAGGGTGTAGATTTACAATAAGAGCAAGAGAAACATGACTGGATACTGATAGATCATAATGTGTGGCATCCAGAAGTTAGCTGTTTGTTTGCCTGGTCCAGCTGATGCTCAGTCATGGACCCTTAAGCCATTCTCAGCCTTCTGCTACTGGTTAGAATTTGAGCACAAAGTATTAATGGGCAATTTGCCTTTTTTGACAGTCAATTCATATAATTCAGGATTAGTTTGGCTATAGGATGCATGGACAGCAATTTGCCCCGCCCCTTTTTGTCCACTGACTGATCCCTATCCATACCAATGACTTAGATTGTTTGAAATAACAGATATCTGGCAGTAAACGTTTAACAAATAGCTAAACTGTACTGGATTAACAGAAAAAAATTCTCCATATAATAACAAAGGGTTTGTAAATGGGTTACTCTTAGTTGACCGGAAAAATACAAAAATGGGAGCCAAAAGCATTTTCACATGATAGGAGACAGGTATGCGTGAGGAAATAAGTTGATTATTATTTACAAATAGTTTGTTACCATGAAGCTTTACTCCTGTCTGTCTTTTCCGTCTTTAACCTTTTCATCTGAGGCACCGGCAACACTACCCAACAATTTAGTTGAAAATGTATTTTATGGCTTTTCAGCATTTTGTTTGAGGCTTTCCCTGACTTAGGATTTTCAAAAAGGGTTTTGGCTAAGAGAATAGCCTGGAGGGTTTTATTTATCCGGTTCTGTCTATCCATCTATGTTTATGCATTTATTGATAGTATTATTACCAAGCAAATTTCGCCAGTCCAGCAGCCCTATGTCCCACTCTGTGTCCCCCCTCCAGTAGCACTTTGGCTGTTCTGTTTTAATTTTAGATCACAGTTATTCTCTGCAAACTGTCTAAGATTTACAAGTTGCATTGCCTAGAATCATGACACACTGCTCATTGCAAACACCTTAATATTCCATTCCGGATGTTAGCAGGAAAGGAAATACTACACTTTGCACAACTCCAAACATTTAACTATGAATAATGAAAAGTAAAAAAGCCTCGCTGTGGTTCATTACTGTATTTTGACAGTGTTTTATTGTGAGATTTGACTGTTTGATGAGTCCTTCTCAGAGAAAGTCCTGTTTGAGGGTGTAGGTGTCTGTTTTCCCCCAGTCTGCATATTTGCCTACTTGACAGTGTTTTATTAAGAATGAAGGCAGCATTTGACTGGATTGTGTATTCTGAGTACTTTCTCCTTCACTTTAATGGTCTTGTAGTACAAAACTGTGCCGCCTTTGCATTGTGATATACCACTAGGTAATTACAGGACTTGGTGGGTAAATTTTAATGAGCGCAAAATCTCCCGAATGGATTGAATGAAATGTCAGTGATGAAAAGTGTGAAGGGAACAGCTAACTGCTTCAGCATCCATGCTAATTTCTCTCCCTCCCTTCATAATGATTAGCTCAGTGATATTTTATGAATTATGACAACAATCAATGTAAATAGAAGCAGCGTGGGTGTAAAAGGCGATTGGGAAATTGGCTGTCGACAGGAAATCAGGTTTCTGTTGGTCTTAGTACGTTAACTTAATGACTGTTTAACCTGTACATAAAAATGACTGTTGTAAAACACAGAACGCCTCTGAAACGCATCTTTCTGTTCAGTGAGGTTGAGCCCAGTTTCTGTCCCCTCTGAATGAGGGTTAGGGAAATCCACTGAGTCCCTTAATTGGTACAATGTTTAAACTTCAGCGCGCAGGATCTGTCGGTGCCCCTCGCAAGCTTCCAGCTACGATACTTTGCTGTTATTCTCTCACATCCATCTGCCCATGTTGTAGAGCGAGAGTGCAGATTTACCCCCATTTCATTAGCAAAAGGGGAGCAATACTGTGCATTCACTGTGTACGTTCTGGATGGCCATCTCAATTCAAAGAACCTGTATATAATTAACTCGATTAATTTTTGTGTCAACACTACTACTTTTAATAAATAATAATAAAAACAGGCTACATTTAAATAGTGCTTTTCATCCCTCCAGGGAATGTTTAGAACCAGTTTAATGTATTCTGCTGTTTATTATGAGCAATAAGATTCTGCATTCTGCAGACATTTAAGAGTTTAAAAAGAAGATTGAACACTTATCCAGCTGATTCATAACGTGAATTTTGTGAGTCATCAGCTCCGTAAAAAAAATATGTGGAATTACTCAAATAACAGTTTGTAGACAGGTTTTTTTGGTCCTTTTTTTTGGCTGCAGCTGTCCTGCTTTGAGTATAATTACATTATCGGATGAACCACATAAAACTCAACTAATGGTAATGGCTGTAGTGACGGGGGTTAAGATGAATTACCAGATGAATTCTGAATTATCTTTTGCTTCTCATAATGTCTAACTCCCTCCCACACACAGACAAAATAATATGAGTGAAAATTAAGTCTGGTGTGCAGACCATTTCAGGATGCCTTCAGCGAGCTTTTTAAAAGTTAAGCTGCAAAGAATGAGGCAGCTTTGGGACACTATAGTGTAATTATATGATTATGAGCTGATATCCAGTTAGGCGATTCTTCTGGCCAATCACAGAGAAGCAGTGGCGGAACACTGAGAGTGAAAGGATGTGGGTTTTAGCAGCCTCGCGACGGGACAAGGCGTTTTTAAATTCCACCAAGCAGCATAACAACAATCCTAGTTGTATAGTGACACAAAGCTTTTAATGGATTTTTAAGACTTAAGTTCTGCCCACTAGTAGATTAAACTGTAGCTCTGTCATCGCCTAGTAAGTCTGGTGTATTCTACTCTTCAAGTTCAGAAGCTGTGTGTGTGTTACTGTGGGCCTCTAACCCCTTCGCTCCTCTTTGCATGTCCTCTGCGAGTCCCCAAAGCCTCATGTACCCTTGTGTATCTTTGCTATGTTTTAGTACATATTCAGTATATATCTACTAGTATCAGTAAAGTACTTGGAAGCCAGATGAAGCAAACAGCACGTTCCTTGAGACCGACTGTGACTCTGACAGAGAGCCAGTGCTACTGGCACCTGTGTAATTTAACATGTATTTTTAATAGTGATGTCCTCAATCACCTTTAGTCACACAGCTGGACGTATAATGGTTTTAAAAAGGTATCATATGACCACAGGGTCCTCCGTAACGTAATCGTTTTTATACAAGCCGGATCAAATGCTCAGCTCACTGATCCAAACTGGTACACTGGAGAACTGGTCTGTCTTAACGTGCTTGTTTTTCAAAGTAGCCTTTTGATGAAAGTAGTTTTAATCTAGATGTGTAATTATACATCCGTCAAAACATTTTAATGCCGGTCAGCACGTAATGCCCAGTTTGCCTGGTTACCCTTGCCTCAGTTAAACCAAAACCCTGTTCTCAGTTTTGTCTTGTTTTCAGCTCTGTGCTGGGAATTGATGACCTTGTTAGAGCAGAAGCTGCTACCTTATCAGAAAGAGTCTCTGTCCCAACGTCGATCATAATAAAGTTCGCAGTGCATCAAACTAGCCAAGCCTTTATCTTTTTTTACCTTTACAATCTTTGTTAATTTTTTAAAAATAAATATCTTTGTGTATAGATATGTGAGAAATTTATATTTTGGTCTGAGAGTTGTGGATTAGCTCCTAATTCTGCTCTGAATTACTAAGCATATAAACACAATCTGAGGACCAGCGTGGTCTGGCAGGTGGCTTTCCTTGGTGTTACCATTCGGCATCCATGGCAATTCACCGTTTCTGTTGGTTCATCTGCCTGTTTCGCTTCATTTTTGCTGCTGCTTCATCTTTGCTTTTTGGGAAACACGTTTAAACACGGATGTGAACAGCGAGGCAAACAGCCCATGGTGTGTTATGCTGGAATCACTGAAATGTTATTCTAGAATTTTTTTATTGAGTCAATGTGAAGAGCTGAAGCGGTGCGGAACGGATGTTTTGAACAAAGAATGAAAGTACTTTCAAAACATCCAGCCATTTGTATTTTGTATGATCAGTTCAGATCTTTTTAAATGGATGTTCATTGGTGTATATTGTCTCCAATCACCAATATCTCTGTCTTACCTGATGTGGCACCTGGGGGACTGTAACTTGGCTCATCTGGCTCCATTTACTGTATAAATATATTCAGTAAATAACTACCTGCATATTTTGTGAATGAACTAAGACCTGAAATATACTTCAAATAAAAAAGGCCTTCTCGTAAATGCTGTTTTGCGTGTCTCTGTACCTTAACTGGTCGTCTTTTCAGGGTCGATCATGGTAAGTATAGTGGTAACCAAATGTGTAAGTGTCCCGAAGTATAAGCTGACATTAAAACAGAAAATGCTGCTTTTACTATGGGGATCGCATTGAAATTACACAAAATTAGCTCTATACTTAAGAGTACTTTATTAAATACTTATACAAATATACAACTTAAAATTTACAGGTATTGACTACACACATAAAAGTACTAAATAGCAAAAACTCTTAGTCCTACTCGTGATTTGATAAAAGGCTAACAGGCTCACTGAGGAAAGTGCAGAAGTGGTCCTTACTTCCAAATTGTTTTTTGTCATTTAGCTATACAAAAGGTAGCTTATTCTGGCAATGTTGTCGTATTTTTACGTGTTTTTGGCTCCTAACTGGAATCTGTTGGCATGGTCCTATTGACTGCTTGCTGTCAGACAGCTAAAACACAGAGCTTTAAATCCGAAACAGATATCTAGACACAGGCTGCGTCCTTCACTGCCGCTTCCTTTCTATTCCTTCACTGAGCATTTTTCTTTTGGTGAAAACTGAACTCAAATAAATGGTGAAATAAATCAAATTAAGCAGTTAGTTAAACAAGGCAATTTGTACTGCAATGAGGATTTGAATTGTCATTCTAGAGAAATTGTGTCCATGGTCCAGAAATGTGTTGCACTTAAAATTAGCAGCATTTGCCTTTACATGTTTACAGATTTATGTGATCTAGTCTGGGGACAAGTCGTCTCATAAAAAGCTATAAAATCTAACAACCAATGGGAGTTTTCATAACCACTCTAAAAGTCAGCTTATAATTTATTCATCATGTTACTGAGTTCAGCCCAGGAATTGCACAAAATGCTACTGAAGGACTATTTCTAGTCAAAATGGGAACATCTTAAAATAACCTAATCGAAAAGGCATATTAATAGAAAACAACTCACTGTTTAGAGTGGGGAGGATTCTATTCAAAGTATTTTTTTTTCTATTTTATATTTATTTAAATATCAAAGCAGGCAAGCACATTTAATAATACTTTTGTACTGAATTTCTGAAAACTTATTTTAACCTTTAACCTAAAAATTAACCTTACAGCTGCAAATCAAGTGTGATACGCAGTTTTTTTCCCCGTGATTATTACTATAAGCTAAAACCTTGTGATTTTGTGTAACCTAACATTTGTTTACACAGCATGGATACAAAGAAATAACACTGTTTTGAGGAATCATGCCAAAAATTTAAATACCCGTCATTAAGAAAGTCTTTGCCGCCATGGAACAGGACTCAGGTGTAACCAGCTGGCACCTTCAATCCAAAAAGGGTGGCAACACGCTGCCGTTCAGCATTGTCAATGCCAGCAGTCTCAAGATGCCATAAGACACTCATTTGACGATAAAATGTAACAGCAGCAACAACGTGAGAACAGGTGTGAGTCCGAAAGACAGTTATGGCCCATTTCACCCCAGCAAAACAGGGATGATTCTACCTTCCGTTTTCAATCCATGGAAATCCAAATGATGAAAATCAACTTAAAAAAAAAGCAAGAGCAATTTTTTTTAAGGTCTTGCAATCAAAGTGCAATCAAAGGAAAATTAAGCCATGAGCCATACAAGAAAGCCTGAGAAATAATAAGTACATTTAAATAACATTTTTTCCTTTAATTTATACAATCTCAAACCTATGTTAGTAAGTGGCAAACAGTTCAACCTTAATGAAACTAAACCTAAAATCATAAATATACAAGCCAGCCAGTACCTGACTGATAGTGCCTTAACTTTAATCCTTAACTGCAGCTGAAAGGTATGGTTCAGATAGACTAACGTTCCCCAACAGAGGTTATTGTACCAAATACTCATGTATCTTCTGCTAAGAGAACAGTACTTTCAGCCTGTTTGCCAGGCATGCAAGATGTTTAAAAGGCATGCCTGAGTTACAGTGAGGCCCTCGCAGGAGAGCCGGCATCAGCCGGCAGCCTTTATGGAGAAGAGAAGACTTGACTGCTTTGACAGGAGCCTGTCATGTTAGCTGCTCGCACTTTCTTGCTGCCCAACAAGTACTACGTGTCAGGAGAAGGTTCTGTTTGTGGCCGTGGCCATTCCTGTGGCGTACGATGGAGAGGGAAGGTCCGTTCTGTCAAGGTGGGGGCAGGTCCTGTCTGGCAGAGTTTTTTTTTTTTTTTTAAGGAAACGTCTAAGGGGGACAAAAGTCAGCAAAGTACGGGTGCTGCAAGGCGTCCTCGGCCGAGATGCGCTGCACGGGATTGCACTTCAGGAGGTTCTGTGGAAAGATCCATTGAAACTTTATCACTGAGGCCCAGGAAGGACATAAGAGGAGAGGTCTGAGTCAGCCCAAAAAGCTACAAGCCCCATAAATGTCACTGCAGGTGTGACCAAAGCAGGGTGCAAAAAGGGACTGCAAACCAGAAACAGGAAGGCCAACACTAACGGTCGTCACATATTACTCACTCTGGGCTAACATACTTTTGTCTAAAAACCAATGTCTTGTATACTACTTTTTGAGGAGTATCTTATGAGTATTTTAACAGAAGTTTAAATCTATGCATATTCACCTGCAGCAAGTCTCTTCCGGTGGCACTGAGCTTGGGGACCACGTTTCCCAGCGACGTGGTGGCTGGATACATTGGATATGGCTGGGAGCAGAGAGGAACAGGTACTGGTGTAATCCCTCATTTCTAAGGTACTTAACAGAACTATGCTTATGCAAAATGACAATATTACACAGAGAAGCCCACCATGGACTGAGTGTGGGCAAGCAGGCAGGGGTCTCACCTTATAATCGGGCAGTTTGGTCATAGTTGTCCACTGCTCCTCTGTTGGAGTCCCCAGCAACGTATCAAAGCATTAAGGTAAATACATGGCTTACACTGAACTGAAACGCGTCTCCACAGACTTGTCACCCATTTGGAAAGACCAGCTGTAGACCTCGGTGCCCGCTGTAACGACCCAGGGGGGCGTCATTGTACTGATTTAACAGATGTGTAGTACGCCTCGTGATAAATCCGACGTCACCAAGAAAATCGATTCAGGCTGGTTCAGGAGAAACCAATAGTTGGAAAACCACAAACACGCTGACATCAACACATGTAGATGTTTAAAGAGACCAGTAGCCAACAGAAACCATATTTAGATACTATGAACTAAGCCAAGGATGATAAAATTGCCAAGGTAGCTGCGTAGGTAACAGATTATTATAAAAGATATAACATATTACTTCCTCAGTTATGGTATTTAAATGGATATCGGAAAATCCTTTTCAGCTGGTCGTCCACATCATTCCCAGGAAAAAGGGGCCTTCCTGCATTTGCCAACTCTGGAAAACAATGACAAACAAGCTAAATGAAACCGCTGTGACTCAGACAAACATAAAGCTCAGACCTCGGGACTGTTGAGCTTGTGTCTAGAGCCGTGGTTTTCAAACTTCTTTGACACGGCCCTCTAGGACTGATACACAATTGGGCAAAAGTATGCGGACACCCCAATTAATCAGAGGAATTTCCTATTTAATCCACACCCACTGCTGACAGATATAAGCAGACAGTTATGCAATCGCCTGCAACATTCATTATCAACAGAATGGGTGGTTGATGTATGAGAGGTTAGCAGGGTTCCCCCAATTATGGCAGAATAAATTTCCATGACTTTTCCAGTACCATAAGAAAATTTTCCAAAACCCACAAGTTTGTAAAACTAAAGTAGATAGAGCAGTATTTGTATAAGGTAGTTAATTTCCGTTAGCGCGTTACAGAACGAAGCGGGAAACAAAAATGAACAAGGCTAGTTTCCAAAACGTTTCCTCTCTATCCAAGAATTCCAAAACTTATCCAGGGCCTGAAAAAATTATTTCAAAATTCCAAAACTTTTCCAGGTTTTCCATGACCGCGGGTACCCTGGGTTAGTGACTCCCTACGTGGCATCTTCACAGGACACCATCTTTCCACCAAGACAGAGCTGTGAAGGGAACAAGTTCAATTGTAAAGTGGTCGGCGACACAAACTCACAGAGCGCGACCTAATCCCCCAACATTACCCAACCTGAATGGCCGCAAATCCAGAAATGTTCCAGCATCTAATGCAAAGCTTTGCCAGAAAAGTAGAGGCTATTAAAGCAACGCTGAACTGACCAACTTCATATTAATACCCTTTGTTCCATAATGGGATGTTGAACAAACTGGTGTCCACATACTTTTGGCCATGCAGTGCACATACGTAGTGTCCTGAGAGAAATTCCAATGGAAAGTGAAGACTACAGAAGTGAGCCTGGCTTCAGCTGCTAGCTGCCTTTAAGGCTTCAGTATCCTCGTGAGATTTTAGAAGACCACTGTCGAGATTAGCCACTGTGAGGCGGGGGGGAGGGGGCTGTGCTGTGGGCGGGGCCTGAAGGAGGGCAGTTCACCTGCGAATATGCACCCCGCTGACCACATGTCGATGGAAGTAGAGTACAGCTTAGCACCAAAGAGGACGTCTGGCGGCCGGTACCATAGCGTCACTACCTACAGGCAAGAAGAGGAAAGCATTGTGTAACAAATATAGGATAAAATAAAGGATTGCTTATTTAGAATTTAGAGATCAGTGGTCATTGTTGACACACCACAGCATACAGTGCATGACGACGAAATGTGTCCTCTGCATTGAACTCATATGTGACATTGTGACATAGCAGGGGGCAGCTAATTCAGCACCCCGGGAGCAGTGTTTGGGGGCGGTACCTTGGTCAGGGTACTTGAGTGGTGCTTTGCTGGTCGGGGATTCGAACCAGCAATCTTTCAATTACGAGTGCGCTTCCCTAACCATTAAACCACCACTGCCCACAATGAACTGTGGGCTACTATGAAGTCCTTCAGCTGTCTAACAGTAAGGGTAAACAGCATTACTTTAACTCAGTCAGATGAAATCTTTGTATAAAAGAAATTACGGCTCAGGACAACAAAGGTGTGTTTTCAGGCACTTCCTGCCAAAGCTTTGCGTTCCTTACCTCGGCCGAGTAACACCTCACCGGGATCCCAAACGCTCGCGCCAGCCCGAAATCGGCCAATTTCAGTTCTCCATTCTGAGCAGGGTGAAAAGGTGAACGCTGAACTGCGTTGGAAATGGTCCGGGGGCAGCTACACTGACATTATGTAGCTAAATGCTAAACAAACTTGCCCACTGCAGAGAGGGCGAGGCTCCTTACTGCCACATCATGCAGCACCATCTAGTTTATTCCTCACCCTGTTGATAAGGAGGTTCTGTGGTTTCAGGTCCCTGTGTAGCACGTTCCGGCTGTGGCAGAAGGCCAGACCTTTTAATAACTGGTACATGAAGGACTATAGAGACAAAATGGGAGAGGGAACGATGATGAAACATGTTCTGTTGCCCTTAAAAGCCCATAAATCCATATTTTTAAACACTAATTACAGAGTGCAAAGTCCTCACTGGAACGTGACCACTGTATTTTGAACGATGTACCTTATGCTGAATAACCAGGTATGATATAAAATAAATGACTGCAAATTTGAATTTAAGGGATACTCAATTACTGGAGGACATTTCTATACGACGGGAATCGCTTTCTCAAATTACTAATGGAAATTATACTTTCAAATAAAATGTAAATTGTAAACACTGTAAACAAAGGACAAGGTTTAATCAAGTCTCAGCAGCAGATTGAAATAATCTGTTCACAGCGAATAGCAATTATAGTTGCATTAACGCGTGTGCGCTGAACAACGCTGTACAGAGGACAGAATATTCACACATAATAGAAAGTCTTGAGTGAACTGCTGTGTGCAGCAAGTAAACAGGCAGACGCCAAAGCTGAAGATGGGACGACGAGTACAAGGAAGAAGAATGAGCAGCTGTGGAGCCCATCAGAGAAGCAGCCAGCCTCCCGATGGAACCCATGCTGCTTCTACAGCAGGGCTGGGAAACTCCTCTTAAAAAGGTATTATAATGTAAAAGATTTGTCATTCGAAGAAATACACATCTTGAGTATTAGGTTATACTACAAAGGCAGCCCATCACTGCGCAGTAGCCTAACCGACCTTGACTGGTGAAACCTTCAACGTTAGCCTACTACGGTCTTAAATGAAGAAAATGACCATAGCATAACACATTTTTTTAATTAGCTACCAACAGGACAGAAATGCCAGTGAAGCAACAAAAAAAACTTGTCCAAATTCTGAAATTAAAATAATTGACATCAGATAGCTGACACAGGCTTATGTGCATAAAATAGCTTAAAACTTCAATGACATCCATGCAGTCAAATCCTACTTTGGGCTTAGGCTATGTCTACCTAGGCTTGGGCACCATTTCATTTTTCATACCACCATACTGTCCATACATTATACTGCGGTATATGGTATTTTGATCGTAATTTCCAATGCATCACTACTCCGCAATTGTGAGGGGAGGAGTCCTTACGGCAAAACATGCCGGCGAAATCCTAAACACTTTACAAACTTTACGAACCCTTTTCAGGTTTTTGAGAGTTACTGTATTGCCACATTCGACTTCTGATTCACACATTATTTCACTAGTTTCCTTGCTGTTTAGTTTCAGCCATTCTGTCAGAATTAATTTATGGAAGTCTGCCCCTAGTGGCAGATCCTTTATTCTACGTTAAGCAACAAGGGTCATTAAGCTAAACAAAAAAGCTGTGCTAGATGACCAATATTAGCCTACATAAAACTTCAAAAACTCAAATGTGGATTTTTACCATTGAATATATAAATAATTTTAAAACTCGAGTAACAAATTTCGACCTCCCAGGGCCAGTCTACAGTCCAACAGTCATGGTCTTACAAGAGTGGCAAGACACATCAGGTCTCAATTGGTCAAAAATAATTAGGTCTCACTGAAAAATGAGAATGTGTCATGTACTAGGTTATCTGGCTGTCCTTCAGTACAGCACATATGTCTGAGTTTGTCTGTAAGCCTACTTAACCTCAAACATGGAGGTTTTGAAAGGGAGCTGCAGGACGGTGGAGGAATAATATTCACAGATGAGAAGGTACATCTGGAGGGCTGTGAGCATCACCATGTGTGCAGCCATTTTTAGAGATGAAGTTCTCTCACATCTACCTGTGACAGAGCCAAACTAGACCATGACAGCTTGAATACAGCCTTGCTCCCCAGGAAGACTGGTAAGCACTGTCGAGACACCATTTGTAGCAATCTGGGACAGTATAGCTTTTCACATTGCTCTTGTGTTGTGACAGTACTTTTTTGGGTCACCTGTGTATGACTGTGTGTTTTTTTGTTGTTGTTTTTTTCCCCCTCAGTTTCTGGCTCTAAGTGAATGTTGTTTTGGAAGGTATATGACCAGATGTTTCTTCTTGGCCCGTCACCCGCTGGCTGTGTGGCAGAGTTACTGCAGGGAGCAGCCAAGCGTGCATTCACCAAGACAGCAGGTTTTATCCTCATGGCATTGTAAGGGAGAGCAAAATTCACAATGGCCACATTTTTTTCTGCAAAGTAAACGAACTGAGTTTCATTGTCTTAGCACAGTGATTTTGCTCCAGATGTCCATTTGTCACAGAATATTTTCCCTGCTAATTGTTTTGAGGACTTGCGTTACTTCAGAGGCAGATATTTAAGGCTGTGAGAATCTCACTGTTTTGCTAATGAAATGTCAGCTTGTTAAATTTTACGGTTTTGGCAGCTTTATTTCGCGAAATTAATTCCAGCTTGAAGAACATTAAGTTGTCCAAAATGCCATTACATATCCGATTCCTTAAATATACTTCAAAAAGCTACATAAATTATCTTAAAGCTAAAATGAAGCTCACATTTACTACTGACTACAAAATCAATTCAGATCTTTAAATGCTTACCTTGACAGTTTCAGGGTCTAAGTCACCATTGCAGCTGTCGAAATATTTCTTTAAGTCCTGTGGAGTGGAGAGACCAGGCGTTTTTCAGATGTTTGGAAAGAGAGTAACATCAAAAATAATATGATATTAATCTGAACATGAGTAAAAAATACCCAGAAGCCAGTGGATTAAAGTCAGCCCTATAACTGCAAAGCAATACATCTCTGACAGGCACAAAAATCCCTTTTATAAACATGACATTAAAATCATCCCACTGCAGCCATAATTATCTAAAACAACACTGACCCATTCCTGGAGTAAAAATAGCATTTTCCTGTCCACTACTAAAAGTAGCTCACATACATGCCGTCCATAAAAATGGATTTTAAACTAAAGCTTCCCAAAAAGCATAACCCCCATTGCAAACAGGGATTCCATTTTCCAGTCTCAAAACGTCACAAGCTGCCTCAGAAGGCTTTAATGATTATACAGTTATGCAATGTAACTATCCCTATAACATGCTTCCAACCTGCATAAAAGGGTCACTTTCAGTCTTCTGTAAACAGTTATTAGGTCTGATCGCAGTCATCACAACTCCTCACCTGATCGCAGTATTCAAACACTAACGTTAACTTTTTGTCACTGTGCAGAACATCGTGCAACCTATAAAAAGAAAAACTTGTCTTGACACAAGCGGACTTCCTGTTGTGTGTGTTCATGTTTCCAGAAAAATGATACAGCTTACACTCAATTTGCTTAGCGTTTTTACTGCATGAACTATTACACAAGAAAGCATATTCCACTATTCTGAAACTAGAATTCCAAAACATTGTTCAGTAAAGGTTTCTATATTTTACAAGTGTAAGTTGCCATTATGTCTGAGTGCCTTTAATGCCTACCTGACTATATTTTTGTGTTTTAGCTCCTTCAATAAACAGATCTCCCGCAGAGCCGAACTTGGGACACCCTTTAAAAAGGAAGATATAGAACAGAATAGGAATAAGGGACGCATCATTCTGCGTCTTATTGTACATTATGTATGACACATTAATGCAAATACCTCGTCGTCGTCATCTAATCTCACTCTCTTCAGAGCGACAATCTCATGAGTTTCTCTGTTCTTGGCTTTGAAGACCGTTCCATAGGTACCTGTGTGAAATCCATTAGACATCAACAAGCTTGTTAAAAGAAAGAGGCTTATCAAGATTACAAACATATCTACTTTATGATCTGTACATATATATTTTAGACCTTGTTTTAAAAAAAACTGTTGCTAATTATGTAATGCTGAACTACATAAGCAAATATTATATACTGGTCCTGGCGATTCCAGATAGTGATCAGATGTATTAAAAATTGGACAAAAACTAGAGCCTCTGCTGTCACAAATATTTAGACAGTCGATTTATTATTACATATCCAGTAGAAAAAAACCGCATTCAATTCAGCCATGTGTGGTATTTATCGTGCACAGAATCGTGAGTGTATTTTAATAGTAGATTAGACTGCATCGAGCCAGACACCTAGTACTTTTCTAACCTAATTCATGCAACTGGCCGGCAGCGAGCCAAACAGCTATGAAAACAGGGGTGTTATACCAGGCTGAGTTAGAGAATAATGCGTAAATGCACAGGACACAACGAAAATGTGAAGTTTCTGTAATGGAGATGGACGGGCCCATAACTCAGGCTCTAAGTGGCTTTGGTTTGACTGGGAATTGCTGGTGCCATACTGGGAATGGGTTGTTAAGGATAACAGCGGGAGCACGGTGTCTCTGGCTTCCAGTTACGGCACGTATAGGTATGAAACATCACAGGAGTGGGGGTTATAAAGATATAAAGGCAATGTAAGGTGCAGCTAGCGGGCTAATGCACTTCTGCTATTAGAAACCGCAGCCTTGCCCGTCAGCTGTCTGCAAATATCCCACTGCTTTGTTAGCTGTTGGCAAAAGAAATTATAAACTGACAGTTTGTCAGGCATGGGCGATAGAAAATGGTTTTTATTTGTGCTGAAGAGCAGGGCGCTTCTGGGTGCCGGTAAACTAGGCCGGGCTTTTAAATAGCCGCCGTGCTTTAGCTACGCCGCTAACCGGACTGTTAAAAGCCGCACAGCCGAGGAACAAAACCAAGAAGCAAAGCGTTCCGTACTCACCTTCGCCTATCTTCTCGAGTTTCTCATATTTCTGCATGTTTGGTAGCTACCGCAGCTAGCTGGCCGGCTAGCCACCGCTCGCTGCCTGACGGCTTTTTGTAAAAGGGAATTTGTGAAATATTGTACGTACAATGGCGGCACTCCGGGCCACCTAGCGGCGAAAGGCGGAACTACAGCGCGGTCGCCGCCCACCTCGCGCACATCTAGGCCAGAGCATTCATTACCCACACAGACCTTCAGAAATGCTACGGTTTATATATCTGTTTCCTATGAAAAACCCTTACATCCACAAAAAAGGGATGCGATAGAAGACGGTATGACCCTGTCAGTGGGGCAGGATGTGTTGTATAGGGGAAGAAAGTTACAAGGCCCCTCTAAAATTTTCCAACATATTTAGATCGGTCTGGGTTGGAAGCCCAGTATGATATGCTTTCATGGGGCCCAAAATGTCTAGCAGCCCCCTTGCATGGAGGATATGATGTTAGTAAGTGTAGCAAAATAATATCGACATAAAAAGGAAAAAGGCAAATTTAATTCATCAATGAGCATTGCATTTTCCATTAAAATTCTATCATTTATAGTCACTTTATGACAATACAACCACAGGCAGAAACTCATTTCATTTTGTATCCAGCAGCAATTAAGTTGATGAAATTTCAAGACAAAAAATTCTTTTCAGAATACAATATTGTCTTGGCTGATATTTAACATTAGTATTTTGCAGTGAATAGCAAGATTTTAGTTCAGCAATTTCAAGGACCCTTTTTATATGATCCACCTACATGATACAGTTTCTATCTGAACAATGTTTGCACTCATAAAACATGTTTTGGGTACAGACAGTGTATTTAAACACAACTTGCCCTATCCTGTAAGTTGTCTGTTGTTAAAAGCTTTTGTATGCCGAAAGCTAGGCATGATGTATAGCTACCCTAGCTAATTGTAAAGGTAAGTGAAATACATCTGTATGCGGAGATAGTTTTGAACTTGCTAGTCAGCATTCAAAACTGTATTACAGTGCTCAGTTCAAGGGGGGGTCCGTCGGCTGCCGTGCTCATTTCTGGCCCTGGGCTCTCTGGCGACGGATCAGGTCAGCATAGAGGCCTCCTCTGCTCAGCAAATCAAAGTGTGTTCCAGCCTTTGGGGGGAAAAAGAATACAGAGTAACCTTCAGCTGCGGAGAGCAAAATCTGGACTGTGCTGGTTAATTCATACATCCGACAGAACATCTCACAGCAGGTTTTCAGTATGAAGTTTTCCCTCCGCTCTTTTGAAACAACTGTACATTTTTTTTGTACTTTCAAACCCCTCACATGTTGATTGTTGATACTTTTTGAAAGCTGCACAGTTGAATAAGTAGTAATTTTCCTTTAACCATCGTTAAGTTTAGGCTCAGTTTGGACAGGCTCAGTTTGGACAGGCTCAGTTTGGACAGGCTCAGTTTGGACAGGCTCAGTTTGGACGCTCCGACGTGTTCAGCCACCGGAGAAGGCTACCTCTGTGATGCGGCCGTCGCTGAGCACACAGATGAGGTCGGCCCTCTGGATGGTGCTCAGACGGTGTGCGATGATCAGCACGGTGCGGCCCGAAGCCGCCCGGTCCAGCGCGTCCTGAACCACCCGCTCCGACTCGGCATCCAAGGCGCTGGTGGCCTCGTCCAGCACCAGGATGCTGGGATTCTTGATCAGCGCACGGGCGATGGCGATGCGTTGCTTCTGGCCCCCAGACAAAGTCACGCCTCGCTCACCTTGGAGACCACAAGGAGAAATGCTCACAAACATCCAATTGTACAGCAGCGTGCTTTTAGTGGAACCTCATAAAATGAGGTTCCACCAAAAGGCTTCTAAGCGTCTAACTATGACGTACCGTTTTCCTGCTGCAGTATTAATACTTTTCACTGTCTAGCCAAACAGGAACCACACGTACCAACCACTGTATTGTAGCCCTCCGGGAAGGCAGTGATGAAGGCGTGTGCGTTGGCCAGCGTGGCAGCGGCGATGACCTCGGAATCTGTGGCCTCCGGCTTGCCGAAGCGGATATTCTCCATGACCGAGGTGCCAAAGAGCACGGGCTCCTATGGGAGGACAGAGTGCAGTGGCATCCATGTCAGTATGCTGCCGTAGCCCTTCAGGCTGTGTTGACTTGCCCACCCCCCACCCAAAAAAAAAAGTATATGTATATAGCAATAGCAAGACAAAGTTTTCAGCTGGTGGGGGCACCTGGTTAATAAACCCGATGACTGCCCCACGGATCCAGGAGGGGTCCAGGGTTCGAATATTCTGGCCATCCAGCAAGATCACTCCCGTGTTGGGGTCATAGAAGCGTTCCAGAAGAGCAGCCACCGTGGACTTACCTGGGCAATGGAGCAAGTTGATCAGTGAGTAGGACGGATATAGATGGCCCAGTAATGACGTAATCGGGTATGATATTAATCTCTTACCTCCCCCAGACTCGCCTACTATGGCCACAGTTTTACCAGGAGGAAGGGCGAGGCTGAAGTTTCTCAGTACCTGCTGCTTTGGTCTTGTTGGGTAGCTGAAAGAGAGTGAGAACCCTACTTCAGAAAAATTCTATTTTTTAGTACCTAACAGGTACTAACTACTATAAATTACATAATTATTAATACATATAAATTTACGGCTGTGAAAACGTTACTTAGTTATGTATCCAGGTACTTATAGAGCCTTGCCTGAAAGTGACATTCATGAAGTCCACCCTCCCAATGAGGGAATGGTATGGGATTCGGCCTCCCCCTTTCAGTGGAATGGTAGGCTCCAACTTCAAGTATTCAAATACGCGTGCTCCAGCACTGATTCCTCTCACCATCTACATTGCCCCAGAAATTAGACAGAATCAGCAGGTAGTTGTAATTTTCTTTATTAGAAGAGTTGTGTGTGGGGGGGGGGTAGTGAAAAAAATTCTGTGAACTAAAAATATGGAAATAAAATTAAGAAACATCTAAATGAAAACTGTAAATAGTGCTTCCAAAAGCATACGATAATACAAATGACAAAAACATCCTGTTACTGTTTTTAATACTGATTAACTTAAGTATTGATTTGTTTATCTTTAATTACCAATAATAATACCTGAAACATGTTTTTCCCATTTTGAGGATTCATGTCAGATTCTCTAAAGATCAGACACATAACAGCTCTACAAGTTTCAGTATATCACTAGGAATAACGTTACTAAAACTTAAACTGAAACTAATAACAATTAGATAGAATATTTCATTAAAATAAAACCTAAAGATAATTAATTAGCCACAATGAAAACTAAACTGGATTTCAAATGAAAATTGAATATAAAAATGAAAACTACGTTAAAAACCAAAACTATAACGACACCTTTACTTACTTGTCCGAATAGGATGGAGATGCTGGCCATAGACCTACACAAAAACAAAGCACACCTCACTACAGGCATCACCCAGCATGCCCTTCTGGACTGTTTCTGTTATGTCTTAAGACATAAAATAAATTTCTTTGTAAGACCATACTTATTGCAGCTAGAATGGTCCAGTTCATATTGCATGAGATGTGCAGAATTGCCGCTGTATGATTTGTAGCAGTGTTTCCCAACCCAGTCCTCGGGAAACCCCGGACAGTCCATGTTTCTGCTTCCTTTCAGCTCCCAGCGCGCCTGTATCAGGTATTCGTGTTCCTGATTGGTTGGGAGCTTGGAGGGAGCAAAAATGTGGACTGTCCGGGGTTCCCAGACGACTGGGTTGGGAAACACTGATTTATAGGAAGCACTTAAGCTCAGCAAGCAATGCAGGTATATGAAAAGGGCAAAAACACTCAGCCGTGATGTCTTTATAAAGCAAATATAAATTACTGTAAATACACTGTACATCAAAATAAAATAAGTTACAATTATATTTTATTTTATCCCAATTATGTTTTAATAAAAAGATGTTTATTTCAAATCATATCATCACATCGAACTTGAATTGCATAACGTTAAGCTGTTGCATTCCTAACTATTCTCTGGGTGGGTGCTGCTTTCATTTAAAAAACGCTCCCTGATGCTGAGAAGGATGAACGTGGAGGATGCAGCTCACCTCTGCACAGTCTGAGATGCCACCAGAAAAGACATGAGGTCGCCAGGGGACAGCTCTTCACTAGCCATTAAAGACCCCCCTGCGAAAATGGTGCCTAAGACAATGCCTGGTGAGAAAAACATTGCGCTGTACTTAAAAGGTCTTTTACATATATATTTTACCAATTTAGAATGGTATCCTATCCAAGGTATTCCACTCCTTTTTGTCCTGTTGTAATGGATAGGCTCCGTGTCCCGCCCCCCCGCTTTTCTGTATAAGCAGTTATGGAATATGAATGCATGCATGGATGAGAGAATTCCAAGGAAAGTGCTTAAATTCAGCTAGAGAGTTTCTACGACTGATCAACTGCGAACACCTACAGTTCAGGACGATGTTGGACAGGCCTTGGAAAACGGCAATTCCGGACCCCAGACTTTCGTTCATGGCACATGACTTATCCACTTCGACGGCGTACATCCTGCGACACAGGAGAACGGCGACACAGTCTGATAAGCCGCCCGAACTTTTAGGGCTGTTCGTGAGGGGAAAACCAGCCAATGCCAAGGCAACAGCAAAGACTGAAAGATGCCTGAACATGTGTCAGGAAGCATTCAGCAGGTAAAGAGGCTGGAAAATGACGAATGAGTCTCTTACTGCATCTCGCGGTCTTCCATGGCAAAGGCCTTCACCGTGCGCACATTCCCTATGGCCTCATCCGCCACGCCGGTGGCTTTGGCTACCTGAGGCACCCAGACAGATGCACAAGACACCTGCTTCACTTCCGCAACAAAGACATCTGCTGTCCCAGAATGCTGTGCGGCAACACTGGCCATGTGTATCCCCAGCAAGAATGTTTACCTGCTCCTGGGCATTGCGAGATAGCCGCCGCAGGAAGGAGCCGATGAGGGCTCCGGCCCCCACCAGGCAGGGCATGACCACCACGGTCAAGCCCGTGAGTTTGGGGGAGATGAGGTAGAGAGACACGAAGCACCCAACCGTCTGGGTGATGCTACGCAAACCCTGCGGACGACAGCAAACATACGTGTGTGAGCTCGAAAGCACAGACCTTTGCCTTAAGGTTTAGGGTTTAAATATAGACTCAGTCCAATGGAGCCTAGGCCCCGCCTCCTCATGTCCAAATCGCTCCTTGCTGGAGCGCCGCTCTGTTACCTTCAACATTAACCTTTTTCTTAATGTCTCAAAATAAGTGAACGTTTTATCAAAAGGTCAGTTTGTATTAACATTGTTTTTTTTCCCATTAGCTTTATTGTTAATTTTCATTAGTCGCTCTCTTTTCTAGAGTGCATGAAATACTCCGACATCATGCCTTGATTTTTGTCCTACGTTTTTGTATTTTGACTTATTTTGCTTATCGTACTGCGGCCAAAACTTCACTACCGAGATTCTGCGAGGACTAAGACGTGTGTGGGAAGCAATCCGTGAATAGCTTAATATTTTAGTGTGTTTTCACAGGGACGTTACAAATGAATGAGCAAGAATATTACTCGTAGTGATAAGCTATTCTGGTGCATTTTTAAGTTTCATTTACATGTTACGTTTAAAAAAAAAATTCAAGTATATTTAACCACGTGACATGTACAATATCATATGCAATAAAAATAACTTGACAAAATTAATTGATAAAAAGTTATTAAAATAATCACGTTTTTAGGATATTATGTATTGTGGTAACACAACATGCTGACAAATGAGCACATTGCATCTTTAAGAATGTAATCATAAATACATATGATAAGTAATGAACTAATCCATAGAGTGGCTTATTCAGGAACGCCACCCCCCCACCCCCTGCTAGATACCTGACTGGCCACCCCCCCTAGCTGAGACCCCCGGAGTCAAACCAACTGCCGCTGACTAACAGCTGATTCTGTTGAATGTGTGTTCTGGCATCCTGAAAATTACATTAGGTACTGAACGGCAGACACGTCTACCTGAGAGATGACCAGTTTAAATGAAGACTTGAACTCTTGGACATCAGCAGTTAAGCGATTCACAAGCTGGCCCGTCTTGTTGGCATCAAAAAAGGCGACATCCTGTCTGGTGAGGAAAATCAATAGCGAGTTTGTTTTCTAATCAGATCCCAATTCTGTATGTTTCCCCTAATGCTAAAATCACATTTAAGGGTTTTCGTCTGTTTTATACAATTTACTGGTACTGCAAAAGGAGTACTACTGAATTTAAAAACCTCAGTAAAGACAGGAAGAGCTGTTTCCTCATGTCTGCTGCCACTCGTTCCCCTACCCTGGAGAGACAGATGATGTAACCACTGGTCAAGAGGCCCTGTGCAAAAGATAGCATAGTAAGTGATGGGTTGGTCTGGGATGACTTCACTTCATCTGATCTCATGGACATGGTGAAGGATACCACACTGTGAGTGTATGTCAACTCTGACTCACTGGCCAGATCTGGCAAGAAATTATCTGCACTACCACAAGGACAATTTTCATGCTGTCATGCTTCTGTTAATGCGCTAAAAAGCGTTCGGGCCAATTGCAGCATTATGGATGTGACTTTTATACTCATATTAGTGAGCACAATGCCTCGGAGTATAGACAAGCTCAGTAGCAATGAGTCGATTTGCACATTTTTTTTTTCATGTGACCTCTGGGATTGAATGTAAACAAAACCTTAAAATTCATATTTTATTTCAAGAAATACAGTCGTCCCATAACATTTATGGGGCATTGGTTCCAGGACCCCCACAGATACCAAAATCCACAGGTGTTCAAGTTTCTTATATAAAATGGTGTAATAGGCCTATTTGCATTTAACTTACACACATCCTCCCACATATGTTAAATCACCTCTAGATTACTTATAATACCTGATACAATGTAAATGCCATTGTAAATGCTTGTTATATTGTATTGTTCAGGGAATAATTACCAGAAAAAAATCTGCATATGTTCAGTAGAGACACCACCACTGTAGTGCATATAGGAATAGAGAAAACACAAATTCATGATCTCTCTCTGCACCAAATTAAGGTTTTGCTTTCTATAACTTTCCAGATTTTTTTCCCTAATATTTTTGATCCGTGGTTGGTTGAATCCGCGGATACGGAACCTACGGATATTGAGGACCGACTGTACACAATATCTTAACACGATAATAGATGTGACGTCAAACGAACCTTTGCATGGCATTGCGATATTTCAGCTTTAACGCTAAAACTCACCTGCAGCCCATAATATGCCAGAAGCTTCAGAGCTGGCTCCCTCATTTCTCTGAGGTAGTTCCCCGGGTTTTCTCTCATGTAACGGGCCACCACATTGACCAGGTCTCCCAGCATGAGAGGGATCTGTATGTTCAGGACAGCTGCACCAAAGGCGAGCTGGACAGCACCAAGGCAAAGCAGACAAACAAAACAAACCTAAATGGTTAAACTGCACCTCTGCATCCCTGCTGATTAAAAGCATGAAACATAGCAGTCAAGATTCTTTAGCTTCTTTAGTTAACGCAGTTACAAAATACCTCCAGCGTATGCTCACAGAATACAGACAAGATGATACTGTAACATTCACAAAAAAAAAGATATAAATGAAATTGCTTAGCAAATTAAAATGAAGTAGTAAGGATGTGAAGATACAATTTACTGTTTGACAGTAACCCTGAATACGAAGGTTTCCCAGGTCACTTGCAAGGTGCTCAAAGTCACATCAGCTAAAGGACAGAATCATCTTTAGCATATAAATACCCAAGAATTTTGTACTGGAAGAACTATATAAGTTTAGGGCGATTTCATATTACTTACAACAATTGCACCCAGGAGTGCTAGAAGTTGTGGTTTAATGAACTCCCAGAGAATCGCCCAGCTAAACTCAAGCTCAGCTTCTGGAGTTTGGACCTCAGCTTCTGCAGTCCCATCCTGACAATATGCTGGACTGCAAAGCAGCCGTGATGTGACGGTCAGTGCCGACGGGGCCACTACAAACAAGCCCAGGACGGCCCCCGGGAGCCTGGCGTTTCGCCCCGCAGCGCGTCCGAGCGAATTTGATGCTTGAACCCACATCCGACTGGTCGCATTATTTGGCTTCGTACAGAAGTTCCGTCTACCAACGAGTTGGGTCAGTGAGGTTTCTCTGTAAAGACGAACAAGATTTCTTGATTTTAGAATAAGTGGGAAGATGCACATTTCACGGTGAATTTAAGAACAACCGACAGACTATATTATTTATTCATCCATTCATCCTTCCACGAGCGCGAGGCAGGGAACAACCCAGTACGGGGCACCAACCCATCGCAGGGCAAACACACAGCATTCACGTGTATTCTTCAACATCAAACCAAATTTATGTTCAGTGCTTTTTTAAGCAATCGTAAAATAACTGAAATTTAAATAACCGCGATTGTCACAGTTATGGAAACTGATAATACAATGATTTTGAACTGCATTTTTTTTTCCAGATTTCCAGCTCTGGAACAGCAGTGACAATAGCTTTTTAAAATGTTTAGTTCATAGAACCGGTAATCCACAGCAACCCCGTCTGTCCTCCTACCGTCTGTGAATCCATACGTCTTTGACTTTAGTCAGACGAGTATGCACATAGCGCAGCGGAATACTGGAGCTGCAGTTTAATTTGCACTTTAGCAAAAGATAAAACATTTTCGCACGAAAAGTTTAAAACTACCGCTATATGGTTGGATAACTGAAAACATTAGAGCTCAGAAGGCTTTCCAAAGCCAGATGGGCGCAGCCATATTGGTGCGACGAAATTTTCACCCAGAATGCAACGGTCAAAAACAAACAGGACGCCTCAAAACATTCACATTCCGTAACACTGAAAACACAATAGTAATGTTAAGTATTTTTGCTGCATATATGACAATGCATGTGATGCTGCTGCTTTGTGAATCAACGCTTTATTTCTACCAAACAAAACAATAACGTGTGGAGGTTAGAAATATCGATAATAAAACAGGATAAACGCCTTTGAGCTTTTTAATGGGATATTGGCACGCAGCGAGCTTCATGTGTGTTGTGCGCACGTGAGCGCCGACCGGGAGGCAGGCGGACTGACGTCACATAGCATCGTGTTGACATTCGCGCAGCGCTGGAAAGACTGGAACCTCGCGGCCACCCGGGAGCACGAGTCAAACGTTAAAAAAAGACAAGGGAAATCAAACACACATACACACACACACAAAATAAACGTGCCGTGCTGCTTCTTTAAGCCATGTCACCCAACTCCAGAATTAGGTGACTTTTGTCCTCAGTAGAAAACTGAGGAGATGGAATGATAAAATGGGCTACGGGAGTAGCCGTTAGCGAGGCTAGCTGTCCGACGAACAGTACGAGGTAAGTCACTCTGTCCGGCCCCTGTATACGCGGTGTAACCTCGCTACGGTCGATTTAACACGTTATTGCCGTAGTTTCCCGTGCTAGCCGCTAGTTAGGCCGTGTACCGCGTCCTCGGCGAGTCCACCAGCTGATGGACGGCTAGCTCGTTAGCTCGTCCGGCTAGTCGCGGCCGAAGCCGTCAGTCCGGGCGTCGTCCTTCTCCGTCCAGGTCGCCAAATTACCAGGTGGAGATGCTGCTCCGCCTTTGTGCTGAAAGATGGTCTTCAGGCCGAGGGGAAGACGGTTTAGTGGGTCAACCGACGTGTTTTTTTAAACTAGCACAACAGTGGGCGTGTGCTGATATATTCCAGCTATCCTATAATTACATTATTGACAGCATAAATAAGTATATGTAATGTTTGAGAAAGTAATGCTATTTGGGTACCTATGTATGGTGTCATTTTGGGCTGATATTGACAAGTTACATGGTAAACGTGTGAGCCGCCTGTCAGTTATGGAGCTAACTGCGGGGTTGTGCAGTAGGTTTAGATGTCTGGACCTGAAGCCGGTTAGTCTGGCACACATATTTAGTTTATGCCATAAAACCTTGATTACAGCTAGTAAGCTAACTGTTCCTGGATTACAGGAAGCAGTTATTTGTAGCAGTAACCCTGTTTGTGACATGAGAGGTTCAAGGACAATGTAAATCCGTTGCATGTCAGTCAGTCATAATATTTAGCTTTACATACCTCATTTATGCTTCACCCTATGGGGCATTTAATGTGAAGTTTACGTGGTGTTATGACAATTGGGAGGAATCCTCCCCCACTGTTGAGCAAGTAGCTGATCACGTAGGGAAAGGTCAGCCTGTAATTTGATGTGGCTGCAAGTGCATGACTGCAGATTGCTTCACAGACATGGGAACTTGGTGTACAAACAGGGCTGGCATGTCCTGGGGCGCAGGCGGTACCGTCGCCCATCCCTGACAGCTGTGAACAGGGCAAGGCCTTTGATTCTGGCCGCAATACAGTTGTGCGCTGAGACTGGGTTGTGACCAATTGTGGTATGAAGCATGTTTGGTTGTAGAAAGCTGTCTCAGCTACACAGTTGGCCAGAACAGGAGAGTTGGGCCGGGTTCTTACCTGAATTGCTAGCGTAAAATATTCAGTAGTGCATTTATTTAGAACATTTTTACTTGTCAGTTCCCCTGTTTTTGCCCTGATGTAATAACAAATCATGAAATGAACTTTCCGTGTGTTGTGTTGTCGTCCAGCCTGGCATGTTGGTTCAAGTCAGTCTAGGCTGGGACCTGTTTATCTTCGTAGGGAACAAATCTAGACTGTAACTTGGGGCCTGCATATGCTCAAAGCTTGGACAGCCTGGACTGTTTAGTCGATTTAGCCAACAGTCAATAAATATTTTAGAACATACGGCCAGAAGTTACATAAATCAATGGTTGAAGTAGCTTGTGGGCACATGTACTAGTGGGTGCAGTGTTACAGCTACATAGAAGTGGCTCCTGTAGACTTTCAGTATGCTTCACTACAGCTCCAGCCAAAAAGATGCTCTGGATTTGGCAGTGAGAAGCTGTTCACTGAGACACTGCCACTGGTGTGTGTGTCAGTGTGTTGCATCGCACACCTCAGTAACTTGAAAAAAATGAGCTTGAATCACCAGAGGAAAGGATTCATGCTGGATCAGTGCAGGGGCTGAGATTACAGGATGAAAAATAAAGAGTGGGGGCAAAAAAAAAAAAAAAAATGACACGATTTCTGTCGTCTTCTGGTGTGCTGTGCAGAATTCATCACTCCTCAGATGTGCTGTGGCTACACAGCTTTGTGATTCGTCTGGCACTCTTTTTGTGTTGAGACGAAGCCAAGGTCTAAAACTGGAACGTTTGTGGAGAGAGTTACAGGAGAAATCCATTATTAATGACAATCAGTATCCCATATTAATGACAATCAGTATCCTATAATTAATGACAATATTTGAGTAATCTACTGATTAATCTACTGATTGATTATTCATCGAGTAATCATTCATGTGGAGAATAATATGTAATAATATATAATAGAGATGCACCAATTGCAATTTCCTGATTCTTTTGCAATTGCGACCAGAACTATAATTGACAACATATACTAACAAAAATCAGCTTTTCTTCAGTGCAAATTTTTATTTTCATAATAAAAGAAAATGTTAAACTTTACAATTTCCCATGAGCTGCACTAAGTTACAGGATCTTCTTTCACTTAAACAAGTCTCAAAATAAAGTGCTCTGTCACTGGAAAGAGGTACAAAATAACAATTAACTGAAACTGAGTTGCCATATATCCAGCTTTGTCTGACATATTTTACTTTACCAAACAAGAGCAGGTTCAGCAAATTTAAATAACAAAACAAATGTCAGTTACTTATATCATTTTCCAGTATGTTTAAATTCACCAGATAATATGACGTTGATCCTTTGCTAGCTTTGCAGTTTTAATGATTATTCTTTTTAAGCTTTTCTAATATATGCTTAATAACCAGTTTAAGGTTTACCTCCGATGTTTCACCATGTTTTTATGATAATTCTCCCGCGGTTTACTTTGACTTCACATGTGCTACAAATTGCAAGCTTTGTGTCATTTTCACTCGCAGTGAACAGCTTCCACGCTAATGACATGTTAGCGGCTTTGAGGCTATTGCCTGTGCGACTGTGAGTATGACATCTGGTGCATGTGTAAAACGGAACCAGTGTGGTATCAGAAATACATGAGACTGATCGGCTGGTCTCAGGCCAAACACGTTGAAAATCGGCCAATTCCAGTCCGCAGTCGATCGTTTGGTGCATCCCTAATATATAATGTGTAATACATACATTGCAGTTGGTGTTAGGCAGGAACTAATCAATCACTACATGCATGACATATATGGCCAATTTAGGCACTCCATTTCACTTAAGTTGCATTTTTTTGGACAGTGAACGGCAGTGTATAGCGACAGTGCTACTCGCTGCACCACTGAGCCATTAAAGCTTGAATGATGTGCAATGTTAATATCAAAATGGCATTTTATGCACATGCAATTGTGGCATCGCAAGGATTGCAATACTTAGCTGTACTCGAGCCATCAATTTGTGCTAACACATTTTTATTCAGTCACAGGAAACAAAACTTAGCAAGTTTTTCAATTTTAATGATTGTTCCTTTTCAACATTTTCTAGTATATGTTAAAAATTCAATCTGAAGTTTACCACTGCTCGATTTACATGAACTCTGCATGTGCTCTCCAAGACATTCTTGTCCTTGCTTGTCCCGTTTGTGAGAAACTGAACAAAAATGGCTGAAGAAGAGAATAGCAAACAAGAACTGGTCACGAAAAGACATTAATCTTACATTGTTTGGAAGCATTTAGCATTACATGGAGATGGTATTGAGCAAAAGCAAGTGATTTATCGGCACTGTTTTGTGTGTGCTCGCACAACTCAGGTCAACACCAGTAACTTATTTGACAGAAACTGTTGATAGATAAGTTTTTCAACCCCTGAATACTGCAAAAACTTCAAATATCTCAATTGCAAAGGGTAAACTTTTTTGCAATATTGTTCATCTCTACATTCACAAAAAAATTATATACCATATTGTGTAAGACGATGGTTCTAACATTCCTTTTAGCAGTGATTATTTTGACATTTGCAATTATATTAAACAAAGTACATCACAGCTAGTTTACGCATTTGGTTTTCTTAAATCATGCATTTTCTTCGTCATAAATAGCAGGAAACTTTTGGTTTTCAAGTATATGCAGTAATAGTGACTAAATCTTAAGTCATGTAGACCTAAGTATACATGCATTACATGGTTTTGCATCTTTTCATGGTGCCCTGGGAAGTGCTGTAGCCTTGACCAACCATCTTAAACAATCTGTGGAATCTTGTTTTCATTAATTCCATTGTTGCAAAAGTAGACCATTTTTCTGTTAAGGCAACAGCAATTTTAGTACTTTTCTGGCACCTCTAACAGAAAGCTCTGTGGTGTAACAGCACACTGTGGTTTTTGGACAACTCCATCATGAATATTTTTGGTAACGTGCTGAAACTCCAGGTGCTCCAGATCTTCCACCACTGGTGTTTTTGAGGAAAGCACCCGTCTCTTTTCGCATACATTCCTGTCTGTGAGCAGATGTTCACAGTGAGTGGCTGGCTAACAAACACACAAGGTGGAAACTGTAATTGTTTGCCAACGTTTGCTAAGTCGAATGCATCACTGTCACCAGAGCTTATCATGAGACTCATTTTCGGTCAGGTCATCCCATTAGCGATCGTATGCAGCAAGCAGATGGCCAATAAGAACAAAAAACAAGCAACTTTTGAACTGATCTAGCCACTTCATAAAGAAAGTATACTCGGAGGGGGTTGTGAAACAGTTTTATTTTGGAAATTTTACTGAATGTTTGTGCCTGGAGAAACTGTGCTGTTACACATTGGTGCTGATAGTATGAGAGGCCGTTGTGTCAGAGTCTATAGTCTGTAAATCAGCACATTATTTCTGATGGAGGTGCAAGCTGCTGCTGTTATGGCAGAACCTCAGACACAGATCTGTCCATCAAATGCTGAGAAACCTTCAGAAATGCAGGAGAGGTAAAGGCATTCTGGGGGTTGGACATGCCAATATAGCTAGCATAGCTGGCCCAGATCTGGGAGCCATGACTGTATCTGGAGATTTTAAGCAGATGTTGCCTGAAAATGCTTGTTATTTTAGACACTGGAAATTAGTTTAATTTTTCCTTTTAGTGGGTCTAAAGTGAGGACCCCACGAAATTCCATGTAAATGACCCTTTGACCTTGACATCGTACCTAAAGAGAACACAATGATAAGGGTGGAAACAGACTGATTATGATACTGTACAAACAGCTCAGTGAACCACAAGATACAGTCCACTGTTACGTGTTCATATGAAAGGTAGCACACTGGCAGGAACATGGACTCTGAAGTCTCCCTAATCCTGAGGAGAAGAGGAACGTTATTTTCCAAATGAGCCCTTGTCCACAGGTGCATGGGTATTTTTTTTTTATATAAAGGTAGCTTTTTTTATGCATTTTGCCCTTTTCTGCACAGGCAAACAGTGTTTTAGGACACTGAAAACTGAGCTTTTGCAGAACCGCGTCCAGGGTGAAGATTTTCAGAAACTCAGTTTTCAGTGTCAGTGTAGACATTGACATTATAGTGTGTGCCGTTTGCTGTTTACATTAGGCAAGTTTACTCTTGACCATGCCTTTTTAGCCCTTTCATGTGGACAGAGATTTTTTAAAAATGCGTGTATACATGTGGACAAGGCCTGATTGTCATATTCTTGATCCTTGATATAGATCATGTTTGTAGACAATTTGTGCAGAAGCCTTGTAGGTGAGGAACACAACTCATAGTTTTCTAAGGAAAAATATATGAAGGCTAATGAGTAGTGTTGTAATGTTGATCATGGGATTTAAAACAAAAGCAACTGTTTATGTTTTTCAATCTATTTATTGCATTCACCCTGCTGCCA